CCCTCCAAAATGAGCAACGCCCACAATACATTTAGCTTATGACAATTGATGGGTCGCAAACCTGCCGGCGGATCCGATCTGTTCTTATCTCTTTCTACACTGACATTTGCCTACTGCAAGCGCATGTCAGTGCTTTCAAATCAGTCCCTGCCTCCCCTTTCTGGCTTGTTTGCAACAATGCCACATGGTCCTTGCTATGACTGATCCCTTCAAGCAATTCATGTCTTGGCGACTATGCATTTCGTATTGCTCCTTGCAGTCGACCAGTCGCAGATCGGCGAGCCAGCAATACAAACGCAATCCTTCAACGAAGAACCTGGCATCTTCGATTCATCCATTTGCCCGAAGGCTGTGCTTCCATGTTTGTCTTTGCTTCTGTTTCTCGGTGGTGTGGCCTTCACTTCGTTGGACTCTTTCCAGGTGCTTCGGACACCTGACCTAATCTTTAGGCTCAGTGTGGTGCGCTTGTCAGTTTGGAGAATGGGCGGGGCGGTTTGGCAGAGTTTGGCACTGACTCACTTTTTGTACTTGGCAAAGTAGATGGGTGCAAGCTGTTAAATCTCGAAGGCGTGGGCTTTGTTTTTGGGACTTGACATATGTCTAGCCGAGGATGTGAGGATAATCAAGCGGCCGGGGAAGAAGTTGGGCGCTGCTACCGATCCGAAGACCTTTGCCTCTTGGCGTATGCTCTATGTCTCAGCCCTGCTTGGTTCTTGAATATGACCACATTTCGAGACACAGGATTAAACCCATTGCATGGCTTTGTCAATGCCATCTCGAAACAACTATGGGACTACATATAGGTACTGTGCATATTGCAACGCACAGAGTTGATGGAGGAATCCCACATTCTATGCTGAGCATGCTGTACATAGCCAGCTCTCTGATTAGGCGTTGGGCGATTCCCACAATTACCAGTTGCCACAATCCTGTTGCGATGCCAGCATGTCAAGTAAAAGATAATGCCTGTCTATCTAGATTTGCCATCCGAGCCCGTATTGGGCAGCTCCGTTGTTCGAGGCTGCCTTTTTGCAGTTGCTGTCTTTGTTTTTTTCTCCTTGGAGAAAGGATTCTGCCTTGCAGCTTTGGCCAAGTGGATAAGACAAGTTCATATGCTGCACATGAGTGCAATAGGCACGGATAGCGCCATTCCGCGTTTGCCATGGCAACGCTTCAGCAGCACACAATGCGTCAACTGGTTTTGGGGGCTGTCAGCCGAGACGATTCTGAAGATCGGAGAGGATAGCCTCATAGATGATTGGAACAAGCAGTACCCCAAGGCTCGGCAATGTCGATGTGAGGCATTGTTTGGAACAAAGGAAGAACCTGGCTCCGTGTCGATCGCTTCGCGCTGACGCATGAAACTAGATGCTCATACTGTGGACAAAATCCAGCACCACTTGGAAACCGTGGGAAACCATGGTGCATTGGTATTTACAAGGGAATCATCATTAGTAGGTTTCTTAGGTGGTGCGAAATGCATTTCGCCCATCCACAGTATTGCCAGCCGCCAGGTAGTAGGCTCCATGCTTACGATTTACACGCGCAGCTGCCAGGATAGAGTATGCATTGGCGACACCGTGCTGTCAGTGAACGGGGTTGCCGACAAAGACAAGGCACCCGGGAGGCTTGTTGTTTAGGCCCGTGTCAGAAGCGCCAAACTCGCAGTGTAGATGTGAATGCAATCTGCAGGAGGTTTTGAACGACTTTCTGAGGTACAGAACTTTATACAGCTTTGCACACCTTGGCTCGCAACGTTCACGTAGGTTGATATGTGTGCAAACATACTGGAAGCAATGATGCAATTGTGATGGTTTGTGTCGCGACGGACCGCACCACCCAATTGCCTGCGAGCTATCTTGAAATCCTTCCTATTGGCATGGCCTACAACAGTTCCCATGGAGACATTGTGTACTCTGTGGCTGAACATGAAATGCCCATTTGTTAGGAGCACCCAAGTCTACGGAGTTGCGAAGGTTACCCGCAGTTCTGTTGGCTGCTCGTTCACCAAACGGATCCGAGCGACGTGAACCTCAGGGAGGGCGGGAGCTCCACGGTTGGCACAAGAGGCCGTTGGTTTTGCCCAGTTGTGGCATACATTGCAGAGCCAGATACGCAACTGATGGATGCACATGAAAAGCTTCAAGATTACTGTCATTTACTTTATGTAGGAGTATTTCACACATGCGTCGTTTTGCAAAGTTTCTCGCAAAATGATACGGGATATCCAGAAAACAGCCTCCCAAGACTAGAGGAAAAACCTAAAAACAATACGAGACGTCCTAACGTTGGAATGAACACACCCCAGAAAAGTAACTTGACGCTGACTCACAAACATGCGGATGACGGACTTTAGCAAGGCGCTGGCCGCTTCTTTTGCTGGATGCACATAGCCGCGTTCAGTCAAGCCAAGTCAGTTCAGTCCAACACAATCAAGTCAAGTTCAGCCAGGTCTGGGCAAGCATGCATCAAGGCGAATCCACCCCTAAACTCAAAGCAAGTCACGGGAAGACAGGTTCAAATCATGTATTTTTGTTTCTCCGGCGCAGATAAGCCACACGTTTCTGCTTGCTTTCATGGCCGCGTGCAAATTTTGTACTGGCAACCACTTTGAGGTCTCAACAAAAGCTTCTGCTTCTTTCGACCCTTTCCCCCCTGACTCCTGACGAGTATGTTGTTTGTCGGTGCTTGAGTTATACATTCACTCGGATGTATTGTTTTTTTTTTTTTGTAGCGCATGCGCATGTGCTGCTGGCGGTTCTCATTGAATCCTGGCTCCCAAAGAGCAGGTTCTGAGAGGGATGAACCAACACTTACCTCTCGTGCCGGTGTCCAAACGCCATAAGAAAGCGCAAAGAGCACAGCACAGCCTTTGGGTCTTGGAGAAAAGTTAGTTTTCACCAGTCTCAGTATTCTGGCCAACCCCTCAAGTGCGATCATTTCGCGAAATTGCTTTGCAGAGGCACGCATGACTTCCAATTGCTTAAGACTATTTTTTTCCCTGATGGTTTTAAAGGGAATCGATCACTACCGGACATGTTTTATTTTATTTTTCCAGGGGGCGCAAAGCAAATGGCACGCATGAGGCACGCATGATGTGAGGCCGTTCAGGAGATCGCATCCAAGGAAGAGCTCCAGCTGCGGCTCGAACATCAAACACTCCTCTGTGTGTTGTTTGAGGCTACCCTTTCCAGGTGGCTGTGGGTCAAAACCAATGGTACCATTTTGGTTGGTAAGTGAATTCACCACCCATTTTAGTCCATTTTAGTGGTGATTGGCATGTTCACTGGGGGTACGGGCTTTTGACCCATGGCCAGGTTGTTTTAAAGGGAAGCCACAAGGAACGCCCTACATTTTGACGCACGGCTGCTGAAGAAAATTCAGAAGCCCAAAATGGCAACCTTGGCAAATGGAACCAAAGACGACCTGCGGTTGCCCGTTGGCTCTTGAATTTTGCGCCACATAGCTGCCTCTGCTCTCCGTCTTTTCAATGACGCACCATTCTCCACGGTTCTGAGGCGCGTGCTGCGCGGCCCTCGCCGCGAGATGCAGGCCGTGAAGGATGTGAAGACGCAAGCAGGGGCCCAAGATCCGCAAGTTGCGCACAAATCCGGCCGGCAGCTGGTACGAGGAGTACTGGGTCACAGTGCTTGTGATTTTTTGTTTGCGATTGTTTTTTTGGTGTGAGCCGACATGACCATGATATCAATATTGGTGGAAAAGGCGGACATTTATTGGCCATCCGCCCTTCAACATGTTGGAGAAGTAAAGATATCCATTCCGTTTTTGCTCCAGTTTTCAAAGCGGCCAGAACGCCGTTCAAGGGGGTCTGGGATTATGGCACTCCAGACCGCGCTCCAGCTGAGGATGGCAAGGGAAAACCGCCGGCACCAGACAAGCCGCGGCCTGAGTTGCTGTCAGGCTGTGCTGATTTTGCAGTGGCTAGCAGAATCTTTGGCATTGACTTTGTTGAGATTGGGAGGGTCCTTCAATGCTTATCCTATGCAGAGGATCCTGAGAATCTGAGGGTTTTTGTATTACACCCTGGGAATACACCCACTGGGTATTGACCCCATTTAGACACATTTCCGGATAAAACCGTGTTTTTTTGAACCATTCTGGGTCATTTCCCAGTGTAATCCCAGGGTGTAATACAAAAACCCTCAGAGAGAAGCTCCCGGCTGTTCTCTTTTGTAGCTGCCATGCTGCAAAGGGCGAGATAGAGCGGAGCTTAGGCCCACCTTGAGAATGTAAGCGGATCCCCATGGATTTCAGCTGACAGGCCTTGGGAGATGCGTTAAGAATGCCTTGTGCGTTGCCAATCCGCAGGAGACTCCTCAACAGCTTCAAGTTTTGAGGAAGGCTTCAACCGATAATGTACACGCCATGGAGTCCTGGAACTTGGAGTGCCTCAAGCAACCCAAAAGCCAGCTTTCTGTGGTAGAAGGCAAGCAAGTTCCATTGCCAAACATAAAACATGCGCTGGGAGAGTACTGGTCATCCTGGAAGGGCCGTAGAATCGTTTGTGTTTCATGCTGTATGTTCAACGGATGTGCAATCGTGGCCTTTTGCGTGTTCTGGCAATCCTCTCCTGGCGTGACCAGCTTGTTGCTGGATTGCAGCGCGCTTGCTGGAGGTCTGAATCGTTCGGAAAAGCCTTTGCACGAGCGGTACTTCTCAGGCATGTGTTCAGCAAAGCGCCTTGACTTTGGATTGCAGGCCACGTGCACTTGTTTTCTTGTGACCTTTTCTCAAGCCTTAATTCAGAGCCTCACTGCGCGCGTAAACTGCCGCAGAGTGAGGCCGTTTCACTGCTGCCAGAAAGCTTGCCATCAATGGTGCATCAGCGAGACACAGACATAGACATGGATGGGCACATGGACACACACACACACACACATAGGGGCAACACTGCTTGGGACGAGTGTAAGACAACCTGCTTGCGTCAGTGCCTTTCCAACACAGAGCCAGACAACTTGCTACACTACGCAGGTTCACCAGGCCTAGGCAGAGAGCTGGTTCTCAATAGGTCGATCATGAGCATGAGAAGCTTCACTCCGCAACGCCTCGACCATGACATCAGCGGCCAGGAGGGAACTGGACTGAACTGGATGGGATGTGCCCAGCAAGCAGCTTTCAGACCTTTTGCAGTTGCCTGCCCTTCCAGGGACGACTCGCGTCTTTCGGCCACCCTGGGATGGTCGTGAGCGCAGGCAGGAGCTCGTGAGGGGCGTGGCGGGGTGGCGGGCCTTTGCTTCTGCAGGCAGCCGGGGGCACTCGCCTGGGCCACTTGGTCCTCAGGCGCGCGAGCGAGAGAGCAGTGTGCGTCTGAGGAGCCCCAGGAAACAAGAGTCCCGCAATCTTTATTTACTTCAACTCCGGATTCTTGGAGAAGCCCTGTTCATTTTTCTGGTGGACCGGTTGCCTGTTTTCAAGTTTCGTGTCACCAGGAGATGAGGAGGGTGTCATTTAGAGCGACCCCCTCGCACCAGTCAGTGCAGCAGGCACATCGGCCACCGCCTCTGATCGAATCTTGTTTTTCAGGAATTCAGAATACTTACATGACTGTCGCTTTGGCACACTTGAGGTTTGCCCTGTCTTCTGCTTCTGGCGGCGAACTTAGCGCTGCAAGCGCACACTGCTGAAGTGACAGAGTACATTGCCATCCTGCTCCCGTCCTTCATTCGAACAGCCTATTGCCCTCTCTTGTAAGATGCATTGCTCGTGATTCACCCGAGCACTTCCGAGGCACACGCTTCCTGGAACTGCATGATGAGAGCGAGGCCGGATTTGCAAAGCCCATCTGAACACAACGACCACTTGAGATCCGTGGCTGCAGGAAGAGGGCGACAAGCAGGAAATGCATGCTCTCGATGAAAACGACGAGGCCCTTGCCAGCAAGCATATCACCAAATAAACCGCCAGACCGATTGACCGACAGGCACGGCTGGACGTAGAATTGAAGATGGCTCAGGAGATGCATTCATTCAGTTCCTTTCTGCAATGTTGCGGAGCAGGTGTACCACCTTTGTTGCGAGGACTCACTTGGACGACTTATGGCGAGCCGACACACGCACTTGCATTGCCGCGTTGAGTTCAATGTTTTGTTTTTGTTTTAAAATCTCACGTTGGGGAGATCATCTGGATATGCGCAGGCATTGGTTGATGTCTCTACCGTACTGTTGCCTGACCAAGCACTGGGCCCACATCTCAGAGATGTTTCTTGAACAAGACAGTCGCCTAAGCAATGCAGACAGCAGGACTCGGGTTGCTTTGGTTGCCAGTGTTGCCTACAGAATCAGGTTTCAGCGTTTGAATTTTTTGCTGCGACGCGCTGGCATGGCGACGACGCCTCTGGTTTCGCCGATAAAGGTTTCCATTCTGTGCATCGTCATTTCGTCATTTATGTGGGGATTCACGCGAGTTATGTGAAGCCAGACATGTCAGTAACCGCGACAGGTTTTGAGCAAGCTCGACAGACTGTGGGTAACCACGCTATACTTTTCCAGGACTGTCTCTAGAAACAAACACTTTACGGAGGTGGTTCCATATGAACATTCATGGCCATGGTGCCGAATCGGACTGAAATTGAAGCCCCTTCGCTGGAGGTCTGCATATCGCTGGCGTGCCGGCTGCGGCCTGAGAGAGCCATGGGGGTTGATCAAAAGGTCCTTGACATGGGATGACCATCAGGAAAACCACCAAAAAAGATGATATTTCCCACCGAAAGGGAGAAGGTACCCTGGGTCATTTGCGGGCCAGGAATATTGATCAACCCCCACATGTGCCATGTTCCGCCCAGGATGCTAAGATGATAGTTAGTTGTCAAGCCAGGATTTGGAAACGCCATGTCCGCGATCATGCAGCATAGCAACGCTAGAGATTGCTTGACATGGGCTTGCGGATAGGGGTAGCAGTGGTGGCGAAAGCTTTGTCTAAGCCAGCTGAAGGTAGGCTCTTCAGGTTTAGCAAGCCAAGGCTACCTGCTCCACCGCATTTGATATCCCGCTATCTACGCAGGCAGGTGCTGGGATATTTGAAATGAATATATTTGCAAGAAGAACAGAATTCAAGGAACTTCTACGGGTCTTAGTCTTAGTACATTGCTAGACTGCTTCAACGCCTTCGTTTAAGCATTCAAGAAACCCGCGCTTCCGAGTCCCTGTTTGAGAGATCAGATTTTCCAGGTTGCAATTGTGCAGGTTACTGCCATAGAGCCGCACGGCTTGCTGAAGAAATGTGCTGATGATCCTGCGCAGGCTTGGCTTGACTGAACGTGTTTGTTCATTGACATCCATCGTTACTAAGGCAATACATAGGAACCCATCTCACAAAAGGCGTGCCATGTTCTGACATCATGCAACTAACTTCTCACCCTGACCTCCATGCGCGGTGCTGCAAGACATCCAGTGTTGAACCACTCCCCTGCAGTTGTCCACGGATGGCATTGCCCTACGCCTCGCTTCCGCCACGGCCTTGAGTCACCGCGAGTCGGTGCAGGCATGTGCTCCTGACGGATGTTCCATCGTGTTTGCATGGCACGGTGAAGCAGATGGGGAGAACGCTGGGAGAGAAGTGAGGTGGATGGCGTCTCGGGGCTCAACGGCGTGAGGCACCTCAAGCTCCTGTTGCAGAAGCTCCACGTGACTGCAGGCCAGAAGCACTTGGATTGATTTGATGGGTTTTGGGAATCAACGGGACGAGAGAAGATTCGATTCAGAGTTCAAAAGACTGAGTTTGATTGGTTTGACATTGGCCTTTCTCGAATCAAACCATTTGTTGACAGAACCCTAAACCCTAAACCCCAAACCTTCGCAACGGATGGGGCATGTGAAGGCACCTATCCGGTCATGTGCCTCAGGCGATCGATCACAAGGTCTCAGAGTGAACTTTGTGTTCTGCAGAGAGGCTCGGCAGCTCCAAGCAGCTGGACTTGGCGAGTCTTTTGGTCTGAGGTGAAGTTCCACTTCTGCTTCAAGAACAGGGAGTGTGCCGGATGCCAGGTTTACCCTCCTGGGCCCCCGATCCTGTAAATGGAACCAAGTCTTCCAAGGGGCCGTCCGTTCGGGAGCTTCCATAGGGAGGGTAGTTTCTGGGACTTGCTTTCTCTATAGTGCTGCTTTCGCTTGGGTGAGGAAGGGACAGCCTTGCACGTGGCGACTCTCCACAAGCCGGGTCCATAGCTCACAATCGACAAAACTGGCGATCGCAGATTTGGGCTTAGCGAGCCGTGTCAATCTTCACCTGATGCAAACCGCCGGACCCCAGTCACCGAGATGCAAGGGTCAATCTCTTGGGTTTTGACCTGAGATGCCATTGTGCCGAAGTCAAGTCACCACATGTCAGGAGGTTATACCAAGCAGCCATGCGCTGAAGACTCGTAGCCAGGAAGGGGCAGGGCCTTCTGCAGCGTCTGCTGGAAGAGGGAGCGGATCCCCGGCAGGACCAACTCCGGCTTCGCAAGCAGAACGGGACTGGCAACCATGTCAATGTTGCTTTCCGGCTTTCGGCCTTCCAAAGATGATGGCGTTTTGGTCAATCGGCCGAAAGCAAAGCATTGGCTCGATTTGACAAAGTTCATCGGTCAATGCCGGGGTTGCCTCACGAAGCTACGGCCGGCACCGGGTTGATGACTCTTGCATGGCTATTTGCTGGCTGGAGCACCTGCATTTCTGATAGGCGACAGGTCCCCATCCAAAGTTTCTACACGGGCCACTGACTTGATACTTTGGCGCCTGCTCATTCCGCTGACTTCAATCCTCTTCAGCACTACCCCCGTTCCAACCAACATGGAAGCTGAACGCGGATGGCAGACTACGGTCATTTACAATCTGTCCACTTCCACTTTTGGAGGGAGGATACCCGGTCTTCCTCTGGCAGTTGCAAAATCTACGATTCCTTGTCCAGCGTCAGAGCCAGCCTGAACCAACCCCAAGCCCCTAACCTACTCTCAACCATACTCCAAGATCTGAACCCAAACAAAGCACATCTACCGCTAATTACAATCCTGACCGGGACCCCGCACCCCCATTCATGCTCACCCCATTTATGCTCAACTTTTATGTTGCTGTCATTTCAGATCCGTGATAGTATGATGGAGCTGTAGTCCCTTGCGGCACTTCTCCATTGCAGAACTTTTCCATGTCACCATCCAAGCTGGAGCCAACCCTGAACACACCTTTGCCCAGCCTCCAAGCTCCAGAGCTCCTGGACATGAACCTTCCCGAAACCCGAAAAGGAGCAACGCAGCCACACCCCACCCCAAGGCCAAAGCCAAAGCTGAGGCCTCTCCCAGCGACTTTGCTCCCACGCACCACCCCGCAACACGCTGATGCCTCGAATGTTTCAGTGCACCTGTCAAGCCCGGGAGGAGTACACCTTCTCCTCGCGAGGAGAACCTGGATCTGCCCAGGCTAGGCGAGCGGGCAGGTCATGTTTGAGATTTCTGAACCGCATCCAATGCAGACCTCATTCCACTCCAAAGGGAAGGGGGGCAGATTCAATCCCAGCGAAGCGGCGACTGGACACGTGCCTCCATGGGATCCTTCCAGGCTATACATTTAGCTGCAGCACGAGGGCTAGTTCGCCGGCGACTTACGTTGCAAAGGGCAGGCATGCATTTCATGCAGCGACTTGTTGAATGTTTAGCGACCAGGGCACCTTCTAACATGATCCCTTGATTGTCCACCGTTTTCTGCTTTGACCCAAAGCTGAGCCATGTGTGACCTGCAACGCGAGAAGGTCACATTGACCTGCTGCTGCAGCATGGCGCAAGCGTGCATGCATTCCTGCCTGGCTTGGCTCCATTCGCACCCGGACACGTTGGTGATGGTGTGACAGGCGTACAGCCGGGTGAACAACAAGGACAACTACTCTGCCCTCCACGAGGACGGCAAATTTGGACGCACTGAGGGCGTTTCTGCATGCCTCAGTGACTCAGGCAGCTGCATATGGCCTGGTTGAAACTGCACACTTCCTGTTGAAGTGCAAAGCTGACCCGAACACGCCGAACTTGAAGGCGCCGAAGGATGTGTGAATGTTCCCATGTCGCCCATGTCGATTTCGGGGTGCGTCCAGGCTTGATTGACCATGCATTTGTTGGGTACTGTGTCACTTGTGCAGCTGACTGCAGATCCATGTGATTGCCATGTATGCCCTGAGAAACACACCGCTCTACACGTCGCAGCGCGGGCTGGCGATGTCAGGCGCGGGCACATTGAGCACACACACACACACTCAGACAGACAGACCAGACCAGACCAGACAAAGGTCACCCTGGTAAATCTGCCTGGCCGGTAGTAACCCTAGCTCATTTTTTTTGAGCCACACCCATGTGGCAGGTGTTGCCATTTGCTGAAGAACTTCAAAGCCGACCTGCAGGCAATTGGCGGCAATTTGCTGCTGCCCAGCGGAGTCTGCATTGCGGATTGTATGTTCACGGCCTGTCACCTCGCCGAATCATGATAGGCAAGAAATTCTCTTGGAGCAACGCCTGTTATTGTTGCGGCTTTGCCCTCAGCAGCTGATGGTGATATGACTTGAGCCGGACATGGGTGCGACCAGTTTGTTTGATCTGCACGAAGGTCGAACGCGGCAACTACAGGTGCGGTGCGAGGGGTCCTTTAGCTGACTTGCTTGGATACGAGCTTCAGGTTTGACAAGCTCTTTCACCTGATGGAGCGCTCGTTCGAGGATTTGCTTGTGGTCGTGCCAGCAGGTGTTTATTGATTTTTGCTGACCAGTGAACTTCCCTTCACCCTTGGTCATCTCCGTTCTGGACCCCGGATTTAAGAAGCCCCTGCTTCTTACCATGGAGTGTCCCTGGTTTTGGCGATGTATCACTGGAGGGGAACTCCCCCATATGGCCATGGGTCAAAATCCGTACCCCCAATAAACATCCCCAATCCCCACTAAAATAGGTTCTAAAATGGGTGGCGCACCTACCCCAAAATGGGATCCCATTGGTTTTGACCCACAGCCACATGAAGAAGCAGGGGTTTATCAATCCGTCAACCTGTGTTACCGCTCACCTGCCCGGTTTCGTCTCGCACATCTTTCCCGGGCCGCGCCAGGTGAGCCAACTCTGCGCCAGCGTGGCGCCGGGCCCTCGAAAAAGCGCGCGGCGTTGGGGGCGTTGGGTCGTTGTTCCAGCGGTTGGTTCCCCAGGGTTTTCCGGGTTTTTTTGTGGTTTTCCGTTCTTTTTAGCCATCGTTCTTTTCAAAAACCGATCGTTCTCCATTTCCAACCAGGGTTTTTGGTGGTTTCCAGAAAGAAGGATCCCTGGAAAGAATGGGGAAGCTACCCCTAGAGTTGTGTCCTTGTGTTGTCAATGTCGTTGTGTCGTTGGATGGACAGGTCGGTGGTCATGCGGGACAACAGCAGCCACAGAGTCCATCCCGAGTGGAGAGAGGCCTTGGACAAATCCCAGCCACTAATTTACATGCTGCGAGACGCACGCAGGCGCTGGTGAAGCAGGCTACGGAGTTCCCGGCGAAGCCCTGAGCTGTAATGGCAATTGAGTCACAATCAAAAGCTGGGGTAAGTGAAGGTTGGAATGAACAATCCCAACCAGAAATAGATGCAGCCACCTTCTTAATTCTTTACGTGGTTCTGGGTAGACCATTTTGATACCAGGTTTTGATTGAGACTCAATTGGGCAAGGGTGCGTGCAGTATTTGCTGGATCAAATCCTTGGGGATCCCAGAACATTCCGATTCAGGAAGGTTTGGACAGATACTCATCAGGTTTCATCAGGGCGAACAACGGTCGACATTCCGAGGATTGGGCCACTCAGCGCTGGATGGAGATCATGAACAACTCTCCGGGTGCTGGCGAGGCCGCTCAGCCCCAGCCATGTTCTGACGTTTAAGGTTCGGCATGTGTGGAGGAAGTCTTGCGCACGTGCAACATATACCCGCCCTCCCACTAACATGGCACCTCACAGGGAGGCCCAAGAGGAAAGAGCCCTCCCAGTGAGGTGCCATGTTAGGAGGCAGGGTATCCAGATAGCAAAAAGGTCGGGGAGCTTTTTCCTGCGGAGGACATCCTGGATGTGCTGACTGTCCGACCTGCAGCACAGAGCGACACTTACAATCCAGTCCCCAGGCCCCCGGAGCAACCGATCGAGCTCGGCGCCTGGGAACACGGGTTCTCTTCTCAATGTTGAGATCCTGGAACGGAGGGACCATTTTTTTTTTGTTACTAGCATTTGGTTTTGTTCATGCACACCATCCGGCTGGAAAGGACGGGGCTTTCATTATCAAATGCTTTTGGTCACGCAAATCTAGGCTCTCATTGCCCCGTTTGTTCCGGACATCGGGTCTCCTGCAATTGCCAGGCGAGCTCGATTGCCATCAAATACAAACATGATGCAGGAAGCTCAGAGCTTGTCAAAGGCTGAATGTGTATGTCCCAAAAATGAACCCTTGGCATGATTCCCTAGTTGGGAAATTTTGCCTTGTGGCCGAATGATGGGAAGTCAGGTTTCAAAGGGTCCAGTCAGGTCCCAGAACGTCCAACATAGCGTAAAAGGATCTATACAATCAGCCTGGGATCGCGGAAGCCACCTGTTGGGAGTCAGGTGCCGATATGAGCGAACCTCCGTGTGGGAGTGGGACACGCAACTTGTCTGCAAATCGGGTCATGTCGGACTGTCGGGCCCAGTCATAGGGCTTCGCAAGGAACTTTGGCATGTCGGATAGTCTTCAAACATTTGGCGATATGGGGAGTTTGCATGGGATGACCATTGGGGAAGAGTCACTCAGAAAATGATGTATTTCTTACATGGCAAAAGTACCCATGGTCGTTTGGAGACCCTAAAATGGACAAACATGATTCTCAAGCCAAGTACCCATGGTCGTTTGGAGACCCTAAAAATGGACAAAAACGATGATCAACCCAAGTATCCACGGTCATTTGGAGGTTCCAGAGGGACAAACAAAAGACGATGGTCATCCCCCAGATTTCTAGCCAACCGTTCGCATGTTGCGATGCCAGGGACATTGGAGTCCTGGCCTCGGGGCATTTCGGTGCCACATCTGCCCGGGAGTTGACGGACCGCGTCCGGGGCGACAGGTGCCGGCCTGGCAATCCGAGCTCTGCCCCGGGGTGCAGAATGGCTGGGCGTCCGGCACTTGATGCATGCGATGCTGGGGGGTCATCAAAAGGTGCTTTACATGGGATGACCATTGGTTGGAAAACCACAACAACGATGATATTTCATGGTCTACAACTCCGCCTTTGCATATGAAGCTCTCCTCTGCCCGGGTCGTGGGGCCAGTCAGCCTTCTTCCTTCTGCGGCCATTTTGCATCTTTGGGGCACCCGCAAGTCTTAGTCCTTTCCATTTACCAGGGTTCAAAAATTTGGGCGTGCGCCTTTTTAAGGTGCCCAAGGTTTAGTAAAGGATGGAAGCTCGACATGTGCGAATCATACTCCCAAACCATACCACGAATCATACCGCCGAACCATACCCCGAATCATACCCCCTTCACAACTACTACTACTACTACTACTACTACTACTACTACTACTACTCCTCCTCCTCCTACTACTACGACGCTAAATGTTAGTCCTTTCCATTTCCCAAGGCAAGCCATTTTGGGGTTACCCTCTTTTTGACCCGAGCAACTGCTAGACCAACTTCCTCACATTGGAAGAGACCAGCGTTCGAATGAATGCGTGCGCTTAGAGTGCTTGCTCAGGAAGAGAGAGTCAGCACACACCTCTGCCTATGAGGCTAGGGATGTTCTTGCGATTTCAAATCGGCATGTCCTTGGCTGCAGAAGAAGGGACATTTGGGTGTGTCTTTTAAGCCCCCCCCCCCCAAACTGGTGGTTTCCCTTGGTTTCCTTTTCAAACCCACCAACAACGGGTACCCTCAAACAGACAGACCCATGGCCTCAAATCTGAGTACAATTGTGTCCCGCCCAGAAGCTGGCTGGTTGCTGCTGCTGCCGGCGCAGACAAGGCCAGCGATGGACAGCCACCGTGGGTGGCTTGTTTCTGCCCAGGCGAGCCCCTCCTTACTCCGGGCATATCAGACGTTGCGGGGTGCATCTGGCAGAAGTTCTTTTAGCCCGTGCCATGCCTCAGTGCGGAAAAGGGTTGGCGAGTTAGAACTGGCACGTGCCAGGAATTCCTACAAATCACAGGAGGCACGGATTGCAACTTGGAACGCCTCTCGAATGTTTCCCTGACAGGCTTCCAAGCAACTTGTGACAGAACTGGTCCCAGTAAAAGTGCGACAGGCTGGGATGCAAGCTGGTTATGCGAGGGAAGAGTTGTTGCAGTCAAGCTCCGATATTGTCCTTTGATGCCAAGCCTGATGAGCAAAGAGAAGTTTGCCTTGCCAGTTGAAACTTCCTGGTATTGTGAATCCAGACGTGATGGACATCCTCGCGCCACTTGTATGATTTTGGCAGTGTACGCGTTGCACTGTGCTTTGGATTTGTGTATGCTTGCATGAGGGTTGCTTTACGTGCAGACACAAGTGAGATCAGTGTTCCTGTCGGTCGACATGTGCTTTCGCAGCTTTTTTGGCTCTCCACCGACTGCAGAAAGGTGAGCTTGATTATTAATCAAGACAGCACTTGGCACTTGCGTAAACAGAATCACCTTGAGGGTATTCAACTGACTCAGCAAAGTGAGTTGAGTCATGTGAGTGGCTGTGGCATATCGCCAGCATGTCAAGCAGCTAGGGCTGTCAGGCTGCCGGAAGTTCGGCAAACATGATGGTGCCAGAAGACCGGCCAACCGCTGCTGCCGTGTCATGGACGCTTGCCGGAAGTTGAATGGAACCTGACAAAAAAGAGAAAACCTTAGAAGACAATCTTCCTCAACGGGACCTTCTGTCAGGTTCCAAGTTAGTGGCACGGGGTGTATTTGCCATTTGTGAGCAACGATAAAAAGGCACGCACGCCACAACTGGCTTGGCTTGATCTCTTTCATTGGCACGCGTTGCCTCAGGAATTTTGCTCGTGCACTGGAAAACCAGTCCATGCCCAAGCTGTCCATTACCGTGCCAAATGGCACTTGGACCGAAGAGATTCATGGCCATTTGTACACCAGGCCCAGGGCGGTCACGCTTGTCAGTTTGCTTAAGGGTACGTTGTATTTCCCCCTCTTGGTCTTGAAGGGAGCCGATTTCACTATTGGAACCTACCCCCTACTCAAAATACCCGTGCTTTGTTCAGGGTATAGGAAAACCTGGTTTCCTCCTTTGTTAGTAGAGGGTCGACATGATACCTTTGCGTTTTCTTTCTTTTCAAGGTCAGCTGAATGTGCACTGAGTTGCTTCATCCTTGTGCCTGCAGCTGCGAAAATCTTTTCAGGATGATTTGTACCCTCCACATCAGCGATCCGCCTGCTTCCTGCGAATGGTGGGCGCAGCGCCGCATGTGCACTATCCGTGAAGGCAAGGCCATGTTGCCCGGCAGTTTTCACCAGACTCGGAAGGCCACTGAGCCAAATTACTGCATTACATACATCCTATGCTAAATATGCTCACCCTCCCCATGATGCCCATGAACTACATGTGTAGCAAATTTGTGAAAGCTAAAAGCGTATGTGGTGACTTATGGATTCTACTTTAAATGCAACTGACTTTAAATGAAATCCTATTTGGACACAAACTCCTACTTAAACTCTAAATCGAAATAGACATTGATATTATGTTTACATTGCAATCAACTTTAATTAACGTATCATTTGGAACATAATTCCTACTTAACTTCTAAATCAGGATAGACATTCAATTTCAAGTATGTCCTTCTTCAATTCTATAAGCATTGTTAGTTTAGATATTATCAAACGCAGGGCAGATGTAAATTCTAATTGACATAGACACTATTGTTTGGAAAGGCCATCTTATTCAATTTCTAATCGTAGATTGGAACTCTGTCCATATTGAACTCTTTTTTTGTTCTGATTCATGTTTATGTAACATCCTGTGTGGAAAGGACTTGCCCTTGAAATTATCGCTCAAAAATAGCATTCTAATGGAATTATTTCCTTGTAAGGAGGCTTATAATGAGCTTTACAAGGATCCTTGTGAGGAGCTTTAAAGGGAGCGTTGCAAGGAGCTTTACAATGAGCCTCGTAAGGAGCATTACAATGAGCATTATGAGCCTTTACAGGAGCTTCACAACAGCTTCAGTCAAGACGCGCAAGCCAAGTGTTGAGTTCTAATTTGAAATCGAAGATCTAGTTCGATTCTGCCATTGTAATTACTGTTTAATCAACGTTATTTTTTTTGATTTGTGTTTTTTGCGACGCACTTCAAAGACCTCAATCCACCTTGTTTGTTTGTTTGTTTGTTTGTTTGTTTGTTTGTTTGTTTGTTTGTTTTTGTTTGTTTGTTTGTTTGTTTTTGTTTTAATTGTTAGGGGGGATCACACACACACACCAAAGAAACTTCGAGAAACAGCACCAACTGAGGAACAACTTTTTGCTGCCAGCAGTTGTGTTTCTTTGGTTTTCTCGAGTAGTACTCGATGCTTCTTTGGTTTTCTGACTGCAGTCAAATGTAGAAATTAAAATGAGGAGGGAACACCAAACACGACACCTTTTGGCAAAACACCAACTTTTCCTCAGAGTTTTCTGGGTTTCCTCGAGGTTATTTTTGTCGTTTTTGTCCATCAACATCACACACATCGAGTTTGTTTGTTTGGCTTTACTCCAAGCGACAAAGCACAAACTGAGGAAGTGAAACCAACAAGCACACAACAGCCCAACCCTTTTCCTCGGAGTTTTGGTTTTGCTGTTTGTTTTTTCGCGTCTTTTTGGCTTTTGTTGTTGTTTCCCTGAACAGTTTCAAAAGAAGACCCAACCCATCGAGTTTTTGGGTTTCTCCAAAAACGAAAACGACTGGGGGAAACCAACAGAACACAACTTTTGTCAACACCACACCTTTTCCTCAGGTTTCTTTTCGGGAGCGCTCGCACATCCGCTCCCTCCGTTGCGTCGTTGTTCCGCAAAGCTGCCTTGCTCCGTTGCTCCGTTGCTCTGCTGTGTTTGTCCCTTGCCTTTTAGCTCCGTCGCTCCGCTGCTCCATTCTCGTTGCTCCGCAACACGCGTTGCTCCCTTGCTTTGCTGCCCCACTGCTCGTAGCCCGAACAAAAACCCACGCCAGCATAGTTGACGACGTCTCAGCCACCTTCATGTGAATGCCACTGAAATTGAAGCCACCATGTTTGCTTGTAGTAGGGAGTTTTCTCAAGGCTCTCCAAGAAGTTGCAAGTTGCCGCCAGACTGCTTCTTTGGTGGGCTCTTACTTCAAGATGGGGCCCACGCCCACGCCGTTCACTGGTTTTGGTAGCCGTCGCTTACTCCGCGGAAATATCGGCGCAACATGCAGCGGCATAGCAGCGCAACCGCGCAACAGTGCAGCGGAGAGACAGCGCGCCAGCAAATCAGGGCAACAGCGCAGCGGCGCAACGCATCAGCACTATTAGCAGCACTGCAGCCCAAGAGCGCAACGCAAAGACGCAGCGGCGCAAGTTCTGGCTCAAAAAACCAAAGTCCATCGAGCTTGGTGTTTTTCTTCTCCAAGAACAGAGAGCTGAGGGAAAACAAGAACAGACACAAAGCCTCCGAGAAAAGCAAACAAACCCAGCACCTTTTAGCAGAACCAACGCCTTCAGAGTTTTCGTTTTTGTTGTTCTGTGTGATGGATGGTTTTTTTCTGTTCTGCGCGCCTTTGTCTTGATCGCTTCCATAACTGCAACACATTTTTGCTAAACACAGTTTTCATCGGTATACGAAGATTGCTAAAACTAAATGATGATTTTCACAAGTAGTGCAATGCACATCCAAAACGGGATGCGTTTTGCTGTAAATGTCGTTCGAACGGCAAGAACGTGAAAACACAGCGTTTTGCCAGCACTTGTTTTAGGGCGCAGTAACAGAGGTAGTTCATGGGGGGGCCACACATGTGTTTATATACATGCATAGTATTATGTTGTGACCAAGTGCGCAATTAGATGTACATGTTTGTGCAATACAAACAGTTGCACATGGTGTGCGTGGCTTTCTCGACAGCTCCCTGTTTGCACCCAGGTTTGTTTGGGTGGGTGGGGACCCGGATTTCTGGGTTGAGCCGGTGTAGAGACACGCTTGTCATTCTGCATGATAGCACCAGTCTTGCCAGGCATGCTGCAGCCCCTTCAGGAGGGACTCGGCATGGACAAGTACAACGCGCCACTCGGCCACGACAACCAGTGTGTTCTGTGACCATTTGGATACCAAGAATTAGGCATGTGATTATATTGGACATGATACCGCCGGCCACCGAACTGCAGAGTCGGATGTCGTGCAGTTGGCAATGAACATGTGTAGGTTGCTTGTGGCCAAACTGGGCAACATTGTGAAAAATGCTGTGTCTCTTACCATCGGAGAAAGGATTGTGCAGATGTGCTGCTTACATACCTCTGCGGCGGCACAGCGTCAAGCAACACCGGAGCTTGACAGTCTGAGCATCACATGGAAGGACCGCTGCAACTGAAAGCAGCACAGAGATCGGCCACCTGCCTGCCCTGGCCGGTTGGACTTTTCCAGCCACCAAGGCCTGGACGACAGAGCCTGAATATGAAGCAAACACCACGGCCTGACAACCTTAGCATGGCTTAGGGCGCTTCCAAGGACCACCTAAACGCGGCACCGGGCAATTAGATGCCGCCGGAATTAGCCAAAACAACTCCACGCTCGTGGCTTTGGTCCATGGACTCGAATGCGCCGGTGGTCAATCTTGAGGTGCTTGCATAGGAAGGAACGCTGCAAGCATTCCGCAACTACTTCCTGCGAGGGGCCGAGGCCGGCTACCCGAAATGAAAAACATGCCAATCGCTGTGCGTTCTGTGGTCCCATTTGCGTTCTGTTCTCACCAGCCTTTGCGGACGGGTCCCTTCCAAGGTCTTCACCGGGTCTGGGTGTTTCGGGCGGTCAGGTCGGCTTGAGATTCTTGGTGTCCATGTCCTCACGCTCTGAACTAGACTTGGACAAACTTGGTTCCCGGAAACAGGTCGTACCAATTGGCTGTGGCTCAGAAAAATGTGCCAAAATGGCACCTTGGTAAGTGGAATCAAAGACCAAAACCTGCGCAACCCCTTGCCGCGCGAAGTGCGGAACACCAGCACGCAGTGTTTGTCAAACCGCCATCCTCCATCCCTCTGCGCAGATTTGCACGTTGGCCAGTTCGTACCGTTGAGTATGAAACACTTGAGTTACATTGGCAGCTTCTCGCAGGGCCAGACCTCTGAGGTTGTTCGCAGATTCTCCTTTTCCTTTGCGAGGAGGTTTGCGGATACCAGGCTGGATTCTTGAGCTTTCCGGGATTGAGTTGCTAGCTTTGCCAGGCAGCGGTTTGCGCTTGCAGCACTGGCTTCGCAAGGTTGCACAGGCGCAAACAGTCGAAGCCGCCACTTTGTCGAGCGCAACTTTGCAGCTGATTGCGCATGGCTTGGAGTATTGACTTCACTTGGACACGAGGTTTGCGCAAAGAGTCTCAGGCAAATGGCAAACGTGCTTATGTTCGTCGGCTCTTGCCACTGCCCATGCCGTACAACACGAATGTGCACGAATGTGCACGAATGTGCATGACGTTTCTGGGGTCAGCTACAGGTATCAATCCTGGGTCAGGGTATCAACCAACCTTCGCAATACTCTGTATGGGACTAATGCAAGACATTGGATCATGCAGGCCGTGTCTTGCCAGATGTTGACAGCGGAGCTCAGTCAAGCAATGATCTCCGCTTTGGCTTCCTGGAAGCAGAAAGGTCTGGGAAGCAACGGGTCATGCGCGCCATGGTCAACATGACCCTTGGTGTTTTGTTGGCAGGTTTCCTCATGATTTGAGTCGCGGGCCAGTGGTTGCGGTCAAGCTTCTGCCCTGCAAAAAGCTAAGTTGGTTGAGTTCATTCAAGGCCTTCCACACTTAGCCAAAATCATGAGCAATGTTGGGATCATACTGTGGATGGATGAGATCCATTTCACGCCACCTAAGAAAGCCTGGTTTCTGATGATTCCCCTGTAAATATGGTTTCAACCATAGATTACTGTTGAGTCCGGAGGGCGCTTAGCTTGGCCTGAGGCTGCACCGTCTTTCTCAAGCCACGAGCTGTCCACCATGACTGCCAAGCCTTGGAGTCACTTGGCTGGGAGTTCAGTGAGACAAGTCATTTCTGCCTGGCAAGGTTGTGGCAAGTCGCTTGCTTTGCCACTGGCAGGCGGGTGAGCTGTTGCACATCTCATGTCAAGCATGCGACCGCAGGTGATGATTCAAGTCCTGTGAATGGCTATGCAGTGGGGAAAACGCATCAAGTGACGCCGGAGATGGCGTTGAGTTCGCAGCCATAGAGGTTGACGAGCTCTCGCGAGATATGGAGAAGCTGCGGGTCCAGCGAGGATCTGGGAGCGGACGAGACGAAGCAAAGCAAAGCGGGCAGTTCCCAGCGAGGACGTCGCAGACCTGAGTCGCGGGACGGCCATCCGACTCTGTTCACCGAATTTGCTAGCTCAATGGCTGGAGGGCTGGAGCGGGGCGAGCCTCATGCTGCTAAGCAGCTGCGGCGTGATCTCAAAGACTCCAGAGCGCGATTCTGTGGATCCAGATGAGGGCCTTTTGTCACGCCTCGTCAAAGATGCAGAGCAAAACAAGTGGCGCTCAGCACCACGGACCCAGCAAAATGCACTTGAAGAGAAGTGCAAGCGGTGCGGCTGGCGTTGCAAGGTTCACCACAAATCACAATATCGTTGTGAAGCCGACTGGACAGGCAGGATGTCAGAGTACCGACTGTAGAGACTGACCTGGCTTGACCAGGCCATAATCCAGTATGCCTGGGATCATGTGGCCAGGCTGGCGCATCATGTTTTCGGTGCGTAGCCTGGTTGATTGATCCGTGGCTGCATGTAGCTTGTTCCAGACCCACATGCACAGGTATTACTATTGGACCTACGTGTTCTACCAAGTGGTCATCATTGGCAGCCTTGTGGTCGAGGCTGGAAACAGTGTCAGGCATTGCCTCAAGACTTGTGCCCCTCTCGTTCAAGGTGGTCTCTCCCCCGCGGACGCTGTGGCGCAGTGCTGAGTTAATGTGCTTGTTGAGTCCTTCCATACATGGCTCTGAATGTCAACAGGGAACCAGCTCAAACGTGGTGGCATGAATCCCAATAAAATGAAGTCCACCACAGACCGCCTCATCAAAATTCAATGCCCATATCTCTTGCGATGGAAGCTTACATCGGACCATGCGCCCGTGTGTGTTTCCAGGGGAGATCGAATTCGATGGAGCCTCCTGGCAGTCTTGGCCCACTTGGACCCTCGGCTCTTATGAAGCCACCAAAGCACTGATCCGCACGCTGGTAGCAGCTGAAACGGTTCAAGCACACTTGAGCTGACCTAGGAATTGTTTTATGAGTTTTTCGAGATGTGCGGCTTCATTTGCTACCTGCAGCACGGGTACGGCTCTCAGCTTGTCGGCATTCACGATCTGCTCCTGAATGCAATTTTGTAACTGGGATATCTTTCTGTTTTGCACATCACACCTGCAAACAGGTGAATAGTCTATATCATGCAGATCCTTGTTATTTGTGCCCATGGGTGTTGAGTTGCTAGAGAGCATTAGAGGCTTGCTCAGTATTGGGCCCATGGGGGAACGAGGCCACTGCCCTTTCGAGTGGTGGCTGAGGCGGCGAAGGTATTTCTCGAAGATCGAGCGCCTGAGCTAAATGTGGGTGCCTGTGAGAGACGCAAGCCACCGATGTGGGTAGTTTCATGTTTGATCCGAGGGAGTCAGCTTGCAAGAAAGGCAACGGCCACTCTTTCAGTTAGAGAGTTGCTGCCACCGGCCCGGTCCACACTCAGCAATGCTCGGGAACGCGCATTATTGGCTTAGACATGGGCTCTGTTGGAGCAATTGCTTTGGACAGCAGTTCTTCGTAAGTGCCGTGCATAGTAGCCAGAATGACTTGCATGTCTGTAGCCAACTCTCCCCTAATCCCTTGGCTCAACTGATGGCATTTGGTACAGTTTTACTTGGGCTTGCGGGCCAGGTTTTGACTATCCCTTGACCGATGAAGATGTTTGGGTTACAAGTTTGAGTCCAAGCCTCATTGGTCTTAGTCAAGGAACGCGTACAATTGGGCCTCCATCGCCATGCTGCTTGTTGGGAGCCTGAGACAGGTGTCCGTGTCCGCCCGAATCTTCATGTCTGCCACGGGTCAGTGAGGTCGTGGTCTATATGACCATGGGCAATCTTACCTTCCAGGACCAGCTGGTGCAACATTTCTGCTCAATGCACGGGTTGAGCAGGACATTCCCATCATGCTTTCGCTGCTCGTGCTGTTCCGCTGGATTCAGCTGACTTGGAGCAACTTGCCTGAATGTGGGGGGTACATCATCTTTTCGGTGCTTTTCCAACCAATGGTCATCCCATGTAAAGGACCTTTTGATCAACCCCCAGGATAGATCTTGGCCTGTCGCAGTTCGTGTGAGCCAAGGCTGCAGGGCCTTTGAGTGGGCGACAGCCCAAGATTTGACTTGTGTTTCCCAAGCTGTTTTTGCCGGGCTTGACCCCGGGTAGATGAAGGTTAGCAAGGGGCAGTCCCAGCCAGAAATAGTTGCGGCCGCCTTCTGAATTCTTTGCATGGTTCTGGGTAGACCATTTTACTACCTGGTTTTGATTGTGACTCACAGCGAAGTTGCGCCGCAAAACCGGCGAAGCCTTTGAGGTTGGGGAGAAGATCCTGCCCATCATGCAAGCATCCTTCTCCGCGCACATCGGAGGGTGCGCCCTTTTCCATTTTGCATGTTCTTGAGTTGGGTGTGGGTCCAAATTGAACCAGGAATCGGACCGGTTTAGTCCATGTTTCCATTTATAAACCACCAGGGGACCGAAGGTTTTGGTCCACGTTTCCATTTACCAGGGCAACCCATTTGGGGTGCCGATTTTTGAGCCACAGCCAGTTCGGCCCAGCCACCTCAGCCTTTGTGGGGTTTGGCCTGGATCAGGATTCTGGTAGTTACCTTCTGCGTGATGTTTGGGTTCTTGCACGGCTCCATGGCACTGGAGCTGGGGTGCTGATCTCAGTCAAAGGAAGGTTGGGTCAACAGCATGTTTCATCCAAACTACCACTGGAAACAGGCACAGTGCGCAGCTTTCGTAGATGATGGTGAAGTAGATATGCTCATGCGGCTCCCAAGGAATGCTCTTCCGCATCACTATGCGGCTGTGCCCATGGCATCTTACCAAATGGCTGCGGGTCAAAACCCTGTACCCCTGGTGAACATCAAAATAGGTGGCAAATGGATGTTCATCCACCCATTTTGGGAGCCATAGGTTATGCAACCCATGGCCAAGTTCTTGTCAAAATCTCCAGCTCACACGACAGGTGCTGGGGTCTTTGAAGCTGCTGCTCCTGGGCCGCTTGGCAAAGCCCAGCAGAAGTCAGAACCAGGGCTATGGCAATGGGGGCGGGGGGCCTACCCCTTATTAACTCCTTAGTAAAGCCCTATGAAGGGTTTATCCTCGGCTTGTCCAGGGATAGCCCCCCCCCCATAGCCCCCCTAAAGGTCCATGACAGAGGGTGTGTGCAGGTTCGGCTCCTTGCTTTTGGCCAATCAGGAGATGGAGATGGCATTGACGTGATCCTGCAGCTCGGGGAAGCACCTGAGGAACATGCTCTAAGGTGCTACAAATGGTTGCTGTTGTATGGCCCTGAAGGAAGGGAACGTTGTCACCTTCTTCTTCCTCTTTGCCTCAATGGTGGTTTTCTGCGTGGGCAGCCCGGGAAGCTTGTTGATTGAAGCTCAGAAGGTTGAGTTGGCTCAGGTCTGCGTCCTCAACCTCTTCATTGCTGTCCATGGCGAGGCTGCATGCCAGCTGCTCTGCGCCGAATGGCCGTGGGTCAAAACCAATGGGATCCCATCTTGGTAGGTGAATTCACCACCCATTTTAGTCTAGTTTAGTGGGTATTGGGATGTTCACTGGGGGTACGATTTGGATGTTGACCCATGGCCAAAACATATTCATCGCACGGGTAGGCCTATGACTCTGCACAAGACAAGGCCGAGCCACTGAGATCCACGACTCACCACTGAGTCATTGGAGTCTGATCTTGCTCATTGGATCCGCAGGCATTTACGGAGTTCCTGCAGGCGCTGTGAGAAACCGGCAGTGCAAGTTTCCTTCGGATCAAGACGTGGCCTGCAGCAAGTACCTGAGTCCCCCGGAAGGAGAGGGCCGGAATTTGTCTGCACTGCCTTCTGAGGCGCGGCGTTTTTTTTTTTTTTTCTCACCTGCAGTTCTCCCAAAAAGAAAGCCTTGGGGCTTCTTATTTCTTTTTTTTCCCTGCGCACCTCAACAGGTGAAGTAACAGTTCCGCCGGCTGCTGCTTTTCCGGTCGGGAGGCCATCTTGGCCGCCGCGGTGCTTCTCCTTTCGCGTGCGCGGGGCTGAGTGGCAAATTCCTGTGTGGCTCGTCTGAGCCTGAGCTTTTATCCCCCAGAGGCTTATTGCCTGTTCTGGGCTGTTGACACTTGCACTGTGCCGCTATACTCTTTTGCCTCATCTGGTGCTTTGTTGATTTGCCGGCAACCGGCGAGGCCTGCCTTTCAGGTTGTTCACATCGTGAAGTCTTTGCAAGGCTGCAGAAGTCGGCTTCAACTTGTGAGGCAGCGCCGTCTGCTGTCCTACCTCCTGCTGCAGCTGATCGGTCTGACGGCCTGGGCTTTGCTGCTGCGGGCCTGCGCCCGAGGGAGGACTGAGGGATTCGATCTCCTTTGGATCGATTAAGGAGCCTTCTATCCCCACACTGGCGCCCACTGCGATGCTCCTGGTCTTTGCAATGTTGGGTGACTCCATCCTTGCAGGGGCCCCAATGTCATAGACAGGCACCGGATGATTGGATGGCAAACAAGGTCCAACGTCCATGGGACAAGATGAAGGGGGACAGCTGCATTGCCTTCTCACATGACAGTCCACAAGCTTCTTGCAGCCAGCGGAGCCGAGCGGAGCCAACCTGCCAGGACGAGTACTACTTGTGGATGTGCTACAAGGTTCGCCTGGCTCATGTTCATGAGGGGCTGCTTCACTCTCGGTTGTGTGACGGTTTTTCAAGTGAACATCTCACCTTGTCATTCCGCAGATAGCTGAAAGCTATAGGGCTTCTCACTTCTAATAAAGAGGGGAAAGTGATTTGCGAGATTGATGGGCTGGTGCTAAGGGGCATGCAGTTTGGGGTGCTGTTTGGGGTGCTGTTGGAGGGGTGCTAGTGACAGCGCGGGGGCATTTTTGCGAGATTGACGGCCGGGTGCTGTTTGGGGCGCTCTTCGTGGAGATGCTGGTGTACAATCGTTGGCTTTTTTTTTCGCTCTCTGGGCTCTATGCTGGTGTAATTGGTGGGGATCAGTCTCTGGATTTCCGTGGTGGATCTTGAAACGCCTTCGGGATAGCCCGCCTCTTTTGCATCGCGCCATGCAAGTACATGTTTACTTGCCGAGTGGGAAGAGCTGCTCTGTGGCACTGACGCCAGAGTCGAGCATCCGCGAATTGAAGACTGAGGCACAGCGGCAGTTCCAGCGCTGCTTTCTGACGCTCTTTTTCCAAGGTCAACAGCTGGATGTGACATCTACTTTGAGTGCTGTGGGCGTGCGAGATGGGGACAGCATTGATGCCATTGTGCAGTCTGTCCGGCTATCTGCTTCTCGACAATCATTTGCGCGTTGTGCGGCAGGTGAGGTGCTTACATGGGGTCATCCTGGCAACGGGGGTGACAGCCGCCAGGTGCAAGAGCGATTGGTGCGGGTCCTGCAGATCCAAGCAAGTGCATGTGCCTTTGCTGCCATTCTGGATAGCGGCTGTGTGGTGACCTGGGGTGATCCTGACCATGGAGGTGACAGCAGCCAGGTGCAAGAGCAGTTGGTGGGCGTCAAGCAAATCCAAGCAACCAGGAGTGCTTTTGCTGCCATCCTGCACGACGGTTCTGTGGTGACTTGGGGCCAGTCAGAGCATGGCGGTGACAGCAGCCAAGTGCGAGAGCAGTTGGTGCAGGTCCAGCAGATCCAATCAGCCTGGCTAGGTGCTTTTGCTGCCATCCGTGACGACAGCTCTGTGGTGACTTGGGGCCACCCAGAGCATGGTGGTGACAGCAGCCAGGTGAGAGGGCAATTGGTGCAGGTCCAGCAGATCCAAGCAACAAAGGGAGGTGCTGCTTTTGCTGTCATCCGTGACGACGGCTCTGTGGTGACTTGGGGTGATCAACGCTGTGGTGGTGACAGCAGCCATGTGCAAGAGCAGTTGGCACGGGTGCTTCGAATTCAGGCAACTCGCTTTGCGTTTGCTGCCATTCTTGAGGGCGGATCTGTTGTGACTTGGGGACATCCCAAGTTTGGCGGTGACAGCAGCCATGTGCAAGAGGACTTGACGCAGGTCCAGCAGGTCCAAGCAACAAACTATGCTTTTGCTGCTGTCCTGGAGGACGGCTCTGTGGTGGCTTGGGGCGGTTTTGGCGGTGGCAGCAGACCGGAGGGCTTGGTGCGGGTTCAGCAGATCCAAGCAACAGGAAGGTCTTTTGCTGCCATCCTAGACGATGGCTCTGTGGTGGCTTGGGGCAATCCTGATTTTGGAGGCGACAGCAGCCAGGTGCAGTTGGTGCAAGTCCAGCAGATACAAGCAACAGAAAGGGCGTTTGCTGCCATCTTAGACGACGGATCTGTGGTGACTTGGGGCCATCCAGAGCATGGTGGTGACAGCAGCCAAGTGCGAGAGCAGCTGGTGCGGGTCCAGCAGATCAAAGCAGCCTGGCTAGGTGCTTTTGCAGCCGTCCGTGACGACGGCTCTGTGGTGACTTGGGGCCATCCTGGGTTTGGCTGTTGGCCTGGTTCAGACTGAGAAGGAATAACTCGTCCTGTTGGGGAGGACAACGGGTCTCTTTTAGCTAGATGAATGTTGCTCCCACATGTGCAGGCCCGGATGTGGTTCGACCATGGCGCGCACAGTGCTCAAGCCTCACACAACACGAGTAGCACCTGCGGGCGGCTGCTTTAAGCGCCGCTTCGGGTGCAGCTGGACTGACATGTGCCATGGTCAAAACGCCTGCTTGTCTTGGGTTCATGGCGATGGTTATCAACCCCTTAGGGCACGGAGACAACCATCATAAGCTTAAGCGAGTGAGCCCATAATACTTAATTTCCCCCTAAGACAGCCACAAGGCCACAAGGGACGGATTTTGTTGCTTCTGTTTTCCACAGCCTTGCTTGTCACCCCTTGGGCTTAAGGAATCTATGACCATGGCCCACAGACTTCGAGGTGAGTCGGATGCTCCTGCTTTGGCTCCATGTTTTGTTGAATGGACCACCAGATGATGGAACAAGATATCCCAAAAGCGAGAAGGACGCAAGCATACGCCTATGCAAAAAATGATTACTTGGCAGTGGGTCAAAACCAATGGTACCATTTTGGGATAGGTGCATCACCCATTTTAGTCTGTTTCACTGGGGATTGGGATGTTCACTGGGGGGTAACCGGGGTTTTGACCCATGGCCACTGGTTTTTTCGGGCCTGCATACCACCCAAACGGGATTTCCGACTTGGCTCCATGTCGATTTCCCCACTTGGAGACTTCCAAAAAGCAGAACGAGCGCTTGCCACTACCACCAAGACATGAATGAAGAACGTAGATCAGAGGCTTTCTTCACGGGTTTCCGCATGGGTTCTGGCCGTGGTTTCCCTTGAGTTTTCCCATACGCTTCCTTGCAAACTCCCACACGTTTCTTTGTGGGTTTCCATGGTTTCCCATGGACCTCGCGCGGTTTTCCAGGTTGTGAAAGGGTGCCATTGAGACCAAACAGATTGGCCAACCCATTCTGAGTTCGGACTCTTTGTGGTGTTCGCGGCTTCCCTGGACGGCACTGACTTGTTCGTGTTTGGTTTGTTTGCTTTCGACCAAAGGTTGTGTGTGTGTGTGGCTTTGGCACTTGTGGTGACGCCACATCATTTCTCAAGGCACATTTGAACACTTGGCTATGTCCAGGGCAAAAGGCATAGGATTCATGAGTCGGGCCTTTCGATGGCAGGAGAACTTCGACCAAGGGAGGATGTTGCCTGCAGCGGGCTCAATGCAAACCTGCGTACTCCAAAACCGTTTCTTCGCTTGCTCAGCACGTGCATCCTACTGATGGACAAAATCCATTTCACACCACTTGGAAAGCATGGTTTTACAGGGGAATCGCACCACGAACGGAAACCAGGGGTGAAACCATTGTGTGTTGACATTTACGTTGGGGAATCATCAGAAGCCAGGGTTTCTTAGGTGGTGCGAAATGGATTTTGCAAACATCCACAGTACAAGGTGGAGCGGGAGACCTCGGAGAGCAACATGGATGGCCGCATTGCGCGGCTGAAGCGGGACAGCTGCGCCACCCACTCAACTTGCTGGTGCGAGAGATGCAGGGAATGAGAAATGGAATGAGCCCTATAAACAATCCCTTGTGGTTTCCTTTGCGATCGCTAGGTTCATTCCCAAGCTCCTTGTTGATTCTTTACTGAGCAAGTCAATTGCTTCCGCTTCGGTCGCCCTTCACCTTGCAGGAGAGCACACAGCTTTACAAGCAACTCCAATCCGTGGCTTGGCTTGGCGCGCCGGTGAACATAGCGCGATCTTGCGGGCCAGAGAGTTTAGGAGACATTTCAATCAAATGGGCATGATTTTTTCGCTGGGACCCTCTGGTGGGCATCATTTAGGTGGGGTGTTATGTCCACTGACCACTCCTGGCCAACTGATTTCCACCCCCTCCGCTTGGAAAATTCCTCGGGAGCCGCTAAGGAGGTGACGACGCCGCCGCCTCAGATCTGCCCGCGATGGCGGCTCTGCCGTGGTTCTTCTGCCGAGGATCTCGAAGAATGTCACGGAGCGCACGCAGAGCCTAAGCCAGAAGGTCCAGGCGGGGGCCGGAACCACTTGAACATCCCAATCCAACCACTAAAATAGGTTCTAAAATGGGTGAGTGAATTCACCTACCAACCAAAATGGGATCCCAAAACAGTCTTGACCCACAGCCAAAATGGGTATGGGTCAAAATAAAGCCACCAGGAATCGGACCACAGGTTTTAGTCCTTCCATTTTCCAGGGTTCAATTTGGGGTACCTATTTTTGGCCCACAGCCATTCAGCCCGTTTTCATGGTTGCCCTGGTAAGTGGAAACATGGACCAAAACCTGCGGTTTGCCCCCGCCCCCCCCCCCCCCCTGTTTAATTTTGAGCCACACCCAATGGCAGGTCGCAGAAACAAGATGAGGCGTTTGGGATGAAATTTGTTTGGATGTAGGACAATAGGGGCCCAACAATTGGAGTTTGTCCTGGAAACGCCAAAAGAAAGTCCCCAACCCAAGTAGCTCCTCAGTCTTGTGAGTCTCGTGACCCTTATGTGTGTGTGTGTGTTCAAACATGACCCCCCCCCCCCCGGCCCATGCGTTTTTGTTGCTTTGCAAACATAATATGACCACCAAATATGTGTCTGTGTGCGTGTTTGTCAAAATGTGAACCCCCCCCCACCCTTTCTTGCGAGTTTTTCTCTTTCGGTTTCCCTTAAAGTCTTTTTTGTCTTCGGTTTCTCTTGAACAGCCAACACCCCCCCTCCCCCCAACAAAAAAACAAAAAAACACACACACAAACAACACAAAACAACAACAAAACAAGGGACACATAACAAAAACAAACAAACAAACAAAAGGGCGGCCGCTTCGCCTCTCCGAAACAAATTGAAGCCAAAGCCGCCTGGAGGCCATGGATGGGCGGCTCCAGGGCCTAGAGGTCTCCATGGAGGAGCTCCTGAGCAACATCGAGTATGCGCTCAGCTCGGGTTCTTGCGGGGGCGGGGTTTCGGGGGGGGGTTTCGGGGGGGGGGGGCATGGACACCTGGAGTGTATTTTGCTCCCATGGACCCGAAAAAAAACCAAGACCCTAAAAGAAGGAGGTTGCAAAATAGAGCCTGAGTGTCCACCAGACGGGGGCGGTAGGTGTTGAGATGACGAGACATGGGGTTTGTCGCCTTTTTTGGGGGAAGCCCCAAAAATGGGTGCACAATTTTGAATCAAGCCTAGACAGAGTACTCCCCCGAAAAAGACACTCAAATCCTGGAGTTGAAGGAGTAACAGGTTTGTACTCTTCGTTGATCTTCTACATTGGGTATGACAATACCAGATGCGTAGGCCGCGTCGTGTTTGCAAAGAATGGATTTGAGATACTCTGGAAGAGCTCCACTATGTTTCCTTTTCATTGTCTTGTTTGCCTTCGTTTGCTGCCAGATATTGCTGAAGGTGTGTCAGCGAAGCCAAGTGAAAGCACCGCTGATAGACTAGGCTTGTGGTTATCTTAATGAACGTTAGTAAGCTTAAGCTCATATACATACCTCGCACCTGTGTTAAAAACACGGCGTGCCATGTATGGATTTGATGTCTTTGCGCAAGCAAAAAGGAAGGCTGGCGCATGATGGCGGATGTGGTGCAGCGTGCAGTGCCGGTTAATCAGGCGAAGGGAATCTCCAGAGTTGCTTACGTCAGGCTCACAGGATTTGATTCAAAACTCACTTGTAGCAAGCATCTAGCAAATTCAGCTGCCTCAAGCTGACCGCACGCACCGATGTTATTTGCCGCATGTGGAACCTAGACAGGCGGCAAGCAACAACCACGACCTTTGGCCGCATCCCTTTGATCTGACCGCCAACTAGCTGGCCTGGCAGGCGGGTTTTGTGGCATTGGTTCCTCACCGTGCCTGGGTCTCTGTCCAACTCATTTGGGATAAGGAGGGCCCAGAGTTGAGTCCCCGCAGTGCTTTGCCCAAAGGCTACATCAATGAACGATTCACCCATTTTGGGATGGAGAATAAGCAAACGCCCAGGTCATGGCGTCGACCAATGGTCCAGCTCCGCAGGCTTAGAGCATTACATCTGCCTCGGTGGAGCGTGTGTCTATCCGATTTGGGATCCCATTTTGGTTGGGATTGGTGAATTCACCACCCATTTTAGAGCCGATTTTAGTGGGGATTGGGATGTTCACCGGGGGTATGGGATTTTGAAAAATGGCCATGAGACGGCCGGACATTCAAGGGCTTTCTTGATAATGTTTATGCATCTCTTGAGTCGTGCCTGTCTCCTCAGGGAATGTTTGTCCTGCATGTCCCACAAATTGGCGACTGTTTGTCCTGCGTGCTGTCCCACAAATTGACGAATCTTTGTCCTGCATGCTGTCCCACGAATTGACACAAATTGACGAATGTTTGTCCTGCATGCTGTCCCACAAATTGACACAAATTGACGAATGTTTGTCCTGCATGCTGTCCCACAAATTGACGAATGTTTGTCCTGCATGCTGTCAACACATATTGACGTATGTGTGTCCTGCATGCTGTCAACACAAATTGACGAATGTTTGTCCTGCATGCTGTCCCACAAATTGACACAAATTGACGAATGTTTGTCCTGCATGCCAACACATTGACGAATGTTTGTCCTGCATGCTGTCAACACAAAATGGCGAATATTTGTCCTGCATGCTGTCAACACAAATTGACGAATGTTTGTCCTGCATGCTGTCCCACAAATTGACGTATGTGTGTCCTGCATGCTGTCAACACATATTGACGAATGTTTGTCCTGCATGCTGTCACACAAATTGACGTATGTTTGTCCTGCATGCTGTCAACACAAATTGACGAATGGTTGTCCTGCATGCTGTCCCACAAATTGACGTATGTTTGTCCTGCATGCTGTCAACACCAATTGACGAATGTTTGTCCTGCATGCTGTCAACACAAACTGACGAATGTTTGTCCTGCATGCTGTCACACAAATTGACACAAATTGACGAACGTTTGTCCTGCATGCTGTCCCACAAATTGACACAAATTGACGAATGTTTGTCCTGCATGCCAACACATTGACGAATGTTTGTCCTGCATGGTGTCCCACAAATTGACGAATGTTTGTCATGCATGCTGTCCCACAGATCGACGAATGTTTGTCCTGCATGCTGTCCCACAAATTGACGAATGTTTGTCCTGCATGCTGTCCGACAGTTTGACGAATGTTTGTCCTGCATGCTGTCAACACAAAATGGCGAATATTTGTTCTGCATGCTGTCAACACAAATTGACGAATGTTTGTCCTGCATGCTGTCCCACAAATTGACGTATGTGTGTCCTGCATGCTGTCAACACAAATTGACGAATGTTTGTCCTGCATGCTGTCCCACAAGTTGACAAACATTCTTGGAAGCACAAAGGCTGACTAACTCGTATGCGATCTGCAAGGTTGCAGGCTGATCCGGGCCGCGCGGCAGTGGCTTGTGCTTTCAGAGTCAGGTGGAAAGCAGGGCCAAGCGAACAACGGCTGTTGCCTCAGACAGCTTACATGCGGGGCATGCCGGGTCCAGATGGTTTTGGTGAACACGCTGTGGATGGACGAAATCCATTTCGCACCACCCATGGGAAGGTTTTGCTTACTGGTACTTCAAAGGGCTTAGGTGGTGTGAAATGGATTTCGTCAATCCACAGTGTTACAAGACATTTGGAGAATTGAGAGTCGCTGCAACTTGCAGGGCAGCGATCTCAAGAGACAACCCACGCGCCTTTTATCACAGTTTTTTGTTGTTTCTTCTTCGACTACCTGCCCATGGACTTGAACCCACGGGTTCCCTTTTTGGGGTACATGACCCACCCTCTGGGTTTAAGTCATGGGGGTAGTCAAAACGTGGAACCCGGTCTCACCATCCAACGCGCCACGACCGAGGCTCTCTCCTCGAGGACTTCTGCGTCCTCAAGAAGCGGCGGAGCTTCGGGAGCGCTGGCAAGTCAGGTGGGCGGTGAAGAAGATGGTAAGTGACGTTGATGGCGTTGTCCTGTTGGTTTCCTTTAGAACCGACAACGGGGCACCTTGGGAAGACGACAAGTGGGTGCGGGTCAAAAGTAAACCACCATGGGACCACAGGTTTTAGTCCTTGGTTCCATTTACCAGGGTTCCATTTTGGGTACCCATCTTTGACCCACAGCCAAGTGATGTTGAGAGGGTTGCCCTGTTGGTTTCCCTTTAGAACCGCAACAAAAAAACGGGGTACCCCCGGAAGAAAAAAGAAACAATCCACCCAAATGGACCCCTTGTTTCGACTTGTTCGTTCATTCTTCAGCTTCACCAGTGAAAAGTCGCGGGGCAACTGGAAAAACTTGGCTTAAGGGTTGAATGCAAAAGGCTTACGGGCCAAGCCGTGTTTAGAAAGCTCGCCCCTGTCAGCGCCCGATGTCCATCTCGGGCATGGACCACAAGAACATCGTGGCGATGAGCCAGCTGTGCACGGAGGAGAGTCCTTGGTGCAGATCCGCTGCCCAGAGTTCCACAGAAACTGTTTTGCGGGGGGAAAGCTTGCTGAGTGAATGACCCAGGGTGTTGGGAATGAACCTCGTATTTTTGTTTGAAGGAAACAGGGGATAGTTCATGGGGGTCATTTTCTCAATTGCTGTTGAGAACCAGAAAGAATGTGAGAGAGAAGCAGTTGGGGCTGTGCTTGCGTCCCACTGTGAGGAATTGGAAAGCAAGATGAAGGAGAAGGCAGCCTTATCCAAGAAGCTTGCGGATCTGAAGCGAGCGAAGCTGCAGTGCTCCCTCGAATGTGTTGCTTGTTCTAACTGATTGGCTGCGTGTTCACTTCTGCAACGGAAGTGACATCTGGGTGGATAGGTATGATGGCAAGCTTCAGAAAAAGAAGAAGGAGAACGACAGCTCAGTGGTCCAGACAATGGATATGGACGGGGACATGTTGCAGCTCTTGCCCCATTGTGGGCGTTTGCGACAAAGTTGCAGGGCTTGCTGTTCAGTCACGCAACCATGATTGGAGACATGCGCGGCGAAGAGATGGCGCCCATGTTAGGAGAAAAAGCTGCAAGCAGTGAATAACAGCTCGGCCCTCATGAGCTGGTGACAGAGGATGCTGGCAATTGGCTGCTAGCAGTATAAGTTATACTGGATGACACTGAGGCAACCGTGTGGCAACAGCCGAGCTTGCAGGCCAACCCATTGCTTGCGCTGGCCTTTCTTCAAACTTGGCATTTTGTTTGATGACCAATCACTCAGGGAGTGAGTCAAGATAACACCAGTGTGGATTGTACAGAGAACAGCTGGATTATTGATCTCACGAGCCAATCAGATAACACTAGTGAATATGTTTGATCACGTTCCTCACTGTTTGTTTGACTGCACCGTTGGATGTTTTGGACGCGAACTCGTTCACAGGCTTGGGATCTGAGAACGAGCGCCTTCGTGCAGACATCGACGCTTTGAGGTCGCATCTGCAGGAGGCGCCTTTCTTTCAGTGACACCACTCCTCGCCTTTCCGCGTTTCCCTTCTGCGGGTTTGCCATCTGCTTCTTTTTTTCTGCCTGTTTTTCTGTTTTAGAGGTTTGCCATTTGGACTCCTGGAAGGGGGCCCCAGAGAACCCCACAGCTCCGCGCCGTTTCGGAGGCAACCACCGCCTACGAGCGGGAAGGCGAGGCCCTGGAAGGGCTGAAGCAAGCCTTGCAGGCGACCCGCAAGGCTCGGTGAGTCGGTGGGCGTTGCAGCACCTCAGTCCCGCATAAGAACTGGTTGATACATGTGGGTGCCACCTGGGTGTGTTTGTGTTGGAGGGGTCCACCCTGGTGGTTTGTTGGGCATGTAGTTTTGAAGGGAAACCAAAAAGGACAACTCACCTATTTTTGGGTGTCCCATCAAAAAGACACCAGTCTTGCAGCACGTGTGAACAGAACTATCTAAAATCGGGGGGGGGGGGAGGAAATCACTCCCCAGGTTGGGGGGTTCTTTGTCAGCCCAAAGCTCTCCACGCAGGAGCTAGCGGCCGAGACAAAGCAGCGAGATGTGGTCCAGCAGGCCGGGAGGGCAGTTTGTAGCATAGGCTATGAGGTGCAAAGGACATGTGCCGAAGCTTTTTCAGTCCAAGTCGCGGCAGGATCCTTTTTTTGGGAGGACAAACTCAGACTTGTGTGTGTCAGGATTGCATGACGATGATGAGTAGTAATATGGATGTTGCACCCTTTGTTGGCTGGAGATCTCAAGTTGTTGGACAAGTTTGGGTGAGTTATATGCTTGAATGCTCTGTGATTCATTGTTTTGGCAGGATTTGAGGGCATCCCGAACGGCCCAAAACCTCATGATCAACCGCTTGGACGACATCGAGAGAAGGTGCGGGTTTCTCTTTTTTACGGTGGCCCCAATCATTGAAGCTTGAAACTGCATGTTGAAAGGATGTACCTCCCGTCAGCGCAATTGTTAATACAACAGGGAGTGGGTGGTGGCAGGGTTTTGGCCAGGAACAAGGCCCTCAAGAATTGCGTCCACACTGCAATGGGCCGCTGATGTCTCTCTCTCGGGTTGGTCTCACTCCGGGAAAACGGGGCTGCGAGAGGCCGTCAGCTTCTCGGGGTA